AGCAAAAAATGTGAAAAATGAAAACAAAATGCGAAGTTGACATTTCAGGTACAGTAGGTAGGCACTCTGTGCCTTACGAGCGGCAGCACGAGCACTCAACCCACCGGCCGGGCTGCGGCCTGGTCAACAATACATCACCCATCCATCCCAGACGATTACACCCTAGAGATAAGATAAAACTGCGCATGTTGTTGGCCAATACTAACGTTGGCGAATGGTTGGTTGGTGACTTCTCGACATCGAGAACCAACCAATACCGTTTCGCACAATAGCGTGCCGGAACTTCCTTTCGTATCGTGGGTATCATAATTATGACAATTTGGCTCTAAATTCCAATGTGGGGGGAGGTGGTAAATTCGTAATATTCGACATACCATACTTTTAACCGGACTGCAATATTCACATTATACCCGTGTGTTCGCTGTAGCGAAATAATAATAATAATAATAATAATAATAATAATAATTCTGAGTTAGCTACCATAAGTTAGAATTTTCTTCCCTGCTTCTGAGAGGTGCTGCATGCACGTGTACTGTGCAGTATGGTGGGGTACGGTATCATATCCCGACACCAGATTTTGTGATCAGTGGTAGTGACGTTCACCCTTTTGTTTCCAGAGGTTGGAAACATCTTAATCGCGAATTTATCATTCGCCCTACACGTCCTGGCCCGACTGACTAACCTATTCAGAAATGAGCACCGGCAGCACGTGCCGGGAGGCGTGCAATGGTGGCGAATTGCGATAGACATATATTTCTCATGAGGAGGTGACTCTTTGAAGAGAATGCTCTCCGGTTTCTCTTCCGTTAGTGGGACATCAGGCCTGAGCTGTACGTCCCCACCACCCTCAAATTATTCCGGGCCCCCGCTCTTTGATGTGCTAGGGTCAATTGGAATTCGAGGATAAGAGAAAATCTTCGAGACAAATATCGACCCCTCATCCCCTGTTGGACCGTTGGTGTGAGTACCGCATATCAGTATTTTCGTCGCCACTCAAAAGTGATAAAATCCAAATGTAGTGATACCGTGTATACTCGACACCTTACCCGCAAGACGCAAACCTCCCACAGCATGAGTTACTGAGTAAGCTTCCCTTATCGGAGATTGGTCAATCGCTCTCCAGAGGCACTTGCTTCCCTCTCAGGACTTCTTGTAACTCGACTCGTGCGGGCGGAGCACATCGGGATTAGGAATCAATCAGCGCCGAGAACGATATAGAGTCAAAATCTAGACCTGTCTGATAATATATGGTCAAATATGTGAAGACCACTAGACCATCACTTGACCATCGGACTCAAGTGCCCTTGGCCCCGTCAGTGATCCCGTGTGATGAAGAAACTTGAAGTCCTGAGCCGCCAAACGAGGGTCCTGAACGGCACGATTGCGACCGATGACTGGTGGGATATAGACCGCCCGAAACGGTGAGGCACATAATGTGAAACTTCAAACAGCATTCCAGGGGCACCGCGCATGGTGCATTAACAGCTGCTCATCGCATCCAGTATTCGGTGGTGAAGAGACACATGACATATAAAATACGACTACGGAATTGGGCACAGGAGGTTGTTCAGAGAATTTCGGATGTGGGCCAGATGTGAAGGGCTTTAGAGCAGTCAGAATAAGGCTACAAAAGCGAATACCTATATAGGTATTCCCACAAGTCAGAGCTTCCACATACCAAACGGATACAGAGTGTTGTGCATACCGCCACCCCACTTCAAGTTATCAAAGTGGGGAGCCAATAATTGCTATCCCCATGAAATCTCGTGACTAGAGAACCCCATAATTCCTTGAAATCGAATCCCTTTCTACAGGCACTGCAGTGCTGCCGAGCATTCTTTGCGGGTTGTGGAGTAGAGAAATTGTTTCAAAGAGAGACTTTGTTTATCAAGTAAGGAGTGAATCAAATAGTTACCCCGCTAGAACCCTTTCGAGCCAGGTTGTAACACTCGAGTACCATTTCATACACAATATTGACAACTCTTCCGTGGCATCGAAGATCGGCAAAGAGAGGGCAAGTAAGGAGTAGGTAGGTTCCGGCCCACAGAAAAGTCGTTGAACAGCAGGTGAAGTTTCAGATGATGTGTCATTTTGCTGGGGAACTTCTTGAATGAATTGATGATATGTATCTCTGATACCTGGTCAGTATCCCGCGCTGTTCCTCGAAGAAGAATCATGGAGTGGAGGAGAAGATACCACATAGTTCAGGTTTATTTCCAACCTTTTTCGTGTCTCGTGGAGGTAATTGCGCTGTCCCGAAGGAATGATGGATTCTGTACGTCAATAAGATGATGTTTTACTGTCAACACGATCATTTCCAAACCCGAAAAACCAAAATGTTGCCAAGGTGACATCCAGGGGAGAGCAGCGAACATCCCTAGAAAATATTAGTCAATATAGATAATTATTATCAAAGCGGAGTTTATCTGCGCAAACAAGGATTTGTGACACTCTTCTTCCATGCTGACGTCTATCCGCTCCGGATTTAGAAACCCCCCTACGCTTTCAGCTACTTTCGGTCAAGGCCTAGCCAATCTCAATAAAGTGTATTCATAGCCAATCTGCAGTATTTCCCTTCAGCTGGAATTTCGGCGGTTTACCGGATGTGAACATCGTTGGAACGTTGCCAATGTCTCGGAGGGAGGCCTGGAAAAGATGATTGGATCAAGAGCTCGAAAATTGGCTCACCGAATAATAAAACAATGAAAACATGGGATGAACACCCCCCACTATCTATGGACGGATGGACGGATGGACGGATGGACGGATGGATAGATGGGAAAGGGGAATGGAAATGGAAATGGAAATGACACCTTATTCAGTTGAGTGCCTATGAATGATAGAGGGCAGGTGCAGGGCATAGGGATGGTTCCCAAGAGAATGCGGTAAATTTCCATTTGGTGCTGAGATTTTCGCATGACTTGACCATTCATAAAGTATTCGGATGCCTTGGCGCCAAGATTCCATGCTTGGGTGCCGGTTGATATACCTTGGCGCCAAGGCATCCGAATATTTTATGAATGGTCAAGTACTGTGCGGTAGCCATGGCACGGTGTGATCATGTTGTGTGACCCGGGTCCCGATTTCAGGATTTTTTTCTTTCTATCAATGAGGCGGAAGTCAAATAAAAAAAAAAAAGAAAAAGAAAGAAAGAAAGAATTGAAGACTTGGCCCTGCCCGAGATGCACTGTATGGCCCGTGCATAGAAATTAGCGCAGGGTCATGGTGATGCTGTTTTGTGCTATACAAGTTGAATGAAGGGCCATTCTACTCATTGACTCCACAAAAGACATGGGCAACAGCACCCCGATATCATTCAGAATTCATGCACTCGTACCACCTTACAGTTTGAGTGCGGGAAAGCTGAAGGGGAATCTATTTACTCGTAGCTCTTATTTCTACAGGTCCCTGGCATGAGGAAGCCGGGCATTTGAGTCTGAATTTAGTATGGGCGCTCAGATGTGCACAGTCAATTTTAAGTATCATACTACACGAGTACTAGTACCGGTACTCGTACAGTACCGGTACCACCGTATCCCTTTCAGAACGAACCAAAGTGCGATGCCAGCATTGCAGCGAAGCGCGTGGGAGCGGCACGTGAAACAGGAAGTTTTGCCTGCGCATAAGAGGAATTCTCGGGCTCGGGCCCTAATTTGGTAGTCAAGGTCGAGAGAGGTTATATGCCAGTACGGTACGCAGTACTCGTACAATAATTGTACAGTGCCGGTATCGGGTTCGGCCCCAATAATAGCATCAGGTCGACACCTTCTACGCCGCTCTTTCTACGGTGAGCTATCGCGCGTGGGATTCCCGGCCGAAATTCACCTTAGAAAAAGTTTCTTCTGATGGAAAAGAGGTAATTTGACAGCTCCCGGCTCGGCTTCCCAAGTTACGTGAGGGAGGGACGGAAGGAAAACAAGAAAGATGGAAAATCAATCTCTGTCAGTTCGGGTTTTTTTGTACCCGTAGGTTGTTGATCTTGTCATTAAAAAAAAAAAAAAGTGCTGCGCACCTCGCCAGCCAGACCGTGGTAGCCGAGGGACTGAGAATTCCCGTGTAATCCATTTGGGCTAGCCGCTTGGTGAGATATGGTGTCAGCAACAACCGAGAGGAACCAGGAAGCCTTGAAGTGAAGCAAGAGAAAGAGAGAAAAGGGATGAAGAGGGTTGTAGTCGAAAAATAATAATAGTGATAATAATATATTATTATTACAATATTATTATTATTATTACAATATTATTATTATTATTATCATTATTATTGGAGCACTTTCTCCAAATCACCCCATCAGAATATGTGCATTCCTGTTGCCTATAGCCAAGAGGAATAAATGAACTTTCGAGAGTAGGACGATTTTCTCTAAATATGGAGCAGGGCAGGGAACGCCGCTGCTGCTGTAAACAAATCTCTCTCTCTCTTTTGGGTAAGTTACCATAATAGAGGTTGTCAGGGCTGTCTCTCGTTTTTTTGGTTATTCCTCTTTTTTGGGGCACTGGTGAGATAATGTATTATTATTATTTTTCTTCCTTCCAGAAGATTGCCCATCCCTCCGAGATAGCAGTAAGGAACGGACAAGAAATAGATTGGCTTCATTTTAACGAACCGTTGGCATGCCTTTCAACCAAATCATCGGGGGAGAACAAGCGAAGCGCAAAAAAGGCCTGGGCTGCCTTGCCTTTTTTGCTGCCCACGGTCGGGCGCGCGAGTCGAACCCCCCCCCCTCCCAAGCAAGAGATTTGCCGCTGCGGTTCTGCTTCTGGTTGCTTTTGCTTCTCTCTCACCCCGAGCCTCTCTTCTCTCATCCATCCATTTTCCGACTTCCCTTTCTCTCTTCTCATCCACCCACTCCCCTACCTACCTCACCATACCACCGCTCGCCTCCTTCCTATTACTCCCCCGGTTTCCCCTTTCTCTCCTTCACTTCTTCTCACCTCCTCTTCTCCCCTCCCCCCCTCCCCTCCCCCCTCTCCCTCTCCCTCTTTCTCTCCCTCTTTCTCTCCGCCCTTCCGTCTCTCACTCATTACCACGCTTCTTTAACCGTCCCTTTTGATTCGGTGCAATACGGAGGACTATCGGAGTGGTGTGTAGCACGGTGACCGTCGGTGGCTTCATCATTTCATTCCCTTTAAAACTTTCCCAAGCTCTCGTAGACCATACGCTCCCCTACACAACCACCTGTAGACTTTTTTTCTTTTCTTCCACTTTCCTCTGGTGGTCTTAATTTACTCAAGGAATCACTCATCCTCCCCCAATCCACTGTAATCATCCCCTCCCTTTTTTTATCGGTTACTTCTTTCACACCCTCCCCGACCTATTCCCTTTATAAGTCCCCCCACAACAATTCCTTCACCTGTTACGATTTTACACTTTCTTTGACTCCCGTTACCCGCTGTGTCCCCTCTTGATGACTTCTCGCTGACAAGGACAATCCGTGCTTCAAAGTTTTCGCTTGACAAGCCCTGGTTTTGCTGCCATCACTTCAAAACCGAGACGCAGCCCTCTGTTCGCATCCCTAGCGTTTCAACGTTCTGGCGCCTAACAGCTGCGCTTCAGCAACATCCACGGACAACATCGCCCTCTCATAATACCGATTTTCGATACCCGGTAACGAGCAGGAGCAGTATTGTCGACAATGTCGTCTTCTTCCTCGAATGTGGTAGGTGTACACTACAGAGTCGGGAAGAAGATCGGAGAGGGATCCTTTGGTGTTATTTTCGAAGGAGTCAACTTGCTAAATAATCAGCATGTTGCAATCAAGTTTGTGTGTTTTTTTTCGCATATTTGCTCTTGGACAGCGTCATGGTTCGCGTGCTAATGTTTCTTAGGAACCGAGAAAAAGTGATGCTCCTCAGCTGAGGGATGAATACAGAACATACAAGATTCTGGTTGGCTGCCGTTAGTTCTCCATCAAAGCTTCCGCCTAATATCGCGTACTAACTCTTAACCAGCGGGCATTCCTAATGTTTATTATTTCGGACAGGAGGGTTTGCACAATATCCTAGTCATTGACCTTCTGGGACCTAGCTTGGAGGATCTGTTTGATCATTGCGGCAGGCGATTCTCGATAAAGACTGTTGTCATGGTGGCTAAGCAAATGGTCCGTCTTGTGGATATCCCTTTATGACGTGTGTCTGACATCTCGTCTAGTTGTCGCGGGTTCAAACCATCCACGAAAAGAACCTAATTTATCGCGATATCAAACCAGACAATTTCTTGATTGGGCGTCCTGGGACAAAGTCTGCCAATATAATTCACGTGGTTGACTTTGGCATGGCTAAACAATATCGAGACCCCAAGACTAAGCAGCATATTCCCTACAGAGAGCGCAAGAGTCTCTCGGGCACTGCTCGATACATGAGTATAAATACGCATCTTGGACGAGAGCAGTCACGAAGAGATGATTTAGAAGCATTAGGACATGTCTTCATGTACTTTTTGCGAGGTGGATTACCATGGCAAGGTCTGAAGGCTGCTACCAACAAACAAAAGTACGAAAAGATCGGTGAGAAGAAGCAGACAACCGCAATTAAGGAACTCTGCGATGGATTCCCAGGTTGGTAGACCCTTCAGCCCCCGGGGTTCTGTGCAACGTGCGGCTGACATTTGTGATTAGAGGAGTTCAATCAGTACTTGAGCTATGTACGCAACCTTGGGTTCGAAGATACGCCTGATTACGACTTGCTTCGGGACCTTTTCACACAGGCACTAAAGAATACCGGGGAAGTTGAGGATGGTGAATATGATTGGATGAAGCTTAATAATGGAAAGGGTTGGGAGGCCATCTCAAAGCACCCCTCTTCACACAACTATCACACAGCCCATAATCAGGCTCACGGAACCAACGGGGAGCTGCGACTTCTTCCTCCGGCCCAGGTTCGTCAACCTCCACAGCTCACCCCGAGTCGTTTAAACGCCCCGCATCCCCCGCCACCATCGCCAGGAAAGCCGATGGGTCCGACGCGCGGCGACAGGCAAAACGCTCCAGGCGCAATGCCGACCAAACGACCGAGCGGACCGGCGGGGGGGTTGCAGAAGCCAGTGGTCACACCAACAGCCAGCACACAAGCCCAGTTCCAAGCATCGAACACGAATCTCCCGCCTACAACCAGAGGGCCTTCATCCCAGGTTCTGAACAGCCAACAGAACCAACCGAGGAACAACCCGGCAGAGCCTAGGAGAAGCTTTGTGCAGAAGTTAGCGGCAGCTTTCTGTTGTGGTAAGTTCTGATATTCTTTCTTGCGCTGCTGGGTCTTTAATCTAACGTTTCTGTGCTCTCTTATAGGTGGTTGATTCGTCTTGTTTTCGCATAACTTTTTGTTTCGTATTCTTCAAACAACTGTTTAATAATATTACCCTCTGCTTTCTTATTACTATATCCGGTTGCGCCATTTCCTTTTCGACTCTTACCGATACACAAACCCTTCACCAAGGGGCTATTACGACCATGATACGAATTGAAAAACAAGCGAAGTTCGCAGCATGTGGGGAGGTATATAAATGAGCGGGGGGGAGGAGGGTTGTAGCGGTTGAGCATGTTTTTCCTTTATTCCCTTTCCTTTTTGTCGAATAGGTGTAGAAGCGATGAACTGTTACGGGTAGGGGGGGGTTAAGCCATGAAAGAGAAGGTGGAGGAAAGTATTAGTTAGTCACCAGTCTTTTTCTCACCCATTTTTTCTCACCTTCTCTTGGCCCACTTCCAGAGATGAAGATGAAAAAAGTTTTGGTTGGAGAGCAAAAAAAGCGAAATCTTTCCCCGGTGTTTTTTGTCATCCCTTTTTTTTTCTTTTTTCTTTTTCTATACATATTTCCTGCGGTTTCTTGTCTGGAGGGGTTTTCCATCGTTATTTTCACTGTTTCCTGCTTGTAACTCTTTCTATTTCTTTCTTTCCTTCTGGCATCTTTTCTCTCTTTTGACATATTGATAATTGGCTCATACAAGTACTTTCCTCGTGTCTCTTAATTCACTTACAGGTGTTTATTGACTTTTCCCTTCCTTTTTTTCCCGTTTCCATTCACCAGCCAAACGTGTTAATTTACCCCTTTGTTCGACTCCTGCTCACACAAATCCCACGCACGATATCTGGCTACGGTAAAATACCGCTACAAGTATTCTGCTACGGTTGATAGGGCAAGCGAAAAGGACGAATGAAGGGATGGATACTGCTAAATTAAAGTTATTACGCCCCACGAAAGATGAGTGAACCGTTACTGTAGACATCTCGGGACTGAACAGATCCATCTTCTACAGTATCATGACTCGTACACACATTTTTTTTTAAAAAAAAAATTAGAACCACAAAAAAATAGAAAAGTTGAGTGAGTGAGTTGATTCACTTTGTGTGTGGCATCACGGTACGGCAATGGATGGCTGGCTTTGCGGCAACCGGGTCTGGCGGGAACTACCGTGAGTTACAAAACCTGGGCGCACGGATGTGTAACTCTTGTTCTGGGGGGGGGGTTATTTTTTTTTAAAAAAAAAAAAAAAAAAAAAAAGAGTTGGGTTATGGTTATCAGGAGAGAGAGAGAGTTGGTTTTTTTTTTTTTCAAATATATATATATACATAGAGAGAGAGTTAGAGGTATCGGGGAGAGGGAGTTGAGGAATCCGTTCAACTCCCCTTTAGTCTACCGCCATCATAAAAATATTATCGTACGGTATCTGGTCGTGTACTGCATATGCTGTGGATATTCTAAGGGTGATTGATGGTCGTAGTAGTCTCAAAAAAGGCAGTATGATAGGTGGGTATTATAGGTACGGTAGGTAGTAAGTAGGGTATAATAATAAGGCCCGACATGTGTTTTTTTTTGAAAAAGTGTAAAATCTGTATTTCGCTTCCATTGCTTCTTTTTTTTTTTTGTTCTTCTTTCTCCGCGATGGATACGGTATGGTTCGCATGCGGTCTTGACGAGATAGATAAATAGGTACTGTACAGTAGCGTAGATGGACAGACTGCTGTGCTAAGTTATAGACCACTGTGGTTTGTTTTTAGGTATACGAGTCACGAGTATGAGACTGTGAGGTAACTTTATCTCACTTATGATAGTACTTACTACCTTACATCGTCTGCGGTGGACACGACGATTCTTGCACCCACATTACATTACACACCTACATACATTCATTGTACTAGTACAGTACCTGCTTTTGTTGGGGAAGTTGCAAGTTATCTTACGGAACATAATATTAACAAGCAGGAAAAAAAGTGAGGGGAACTCCAAACTCCACCGTTCACTACAGTATTTGCTTGTTTTTTTTCCTCCCTCCCCTTCTTCTTCAATTTTCTTTTTCTCCTCTTCCTCGGATTTTTTTTTTCTTCTCATTCTCTTCCTTCTCCTCGAGTGGTGGTGGTGGTGGTACTGTACAGTTTATAGGAATCACAGCAACTTATCGAAGCGCATCTTGTGATTGAGCACAATGGACCCGTTCCACAGCGCGGTACGGAATGCGAACGACGCTGCTCCAAAACCCCCAAGGCGCGCGGGGGAAGCAAGGGTCCCAAAGGAAAAGCGTTAACTTTTGGTTGGAGAAAAAAACCCCTTGGGTGAGTGAAGTGCCTGCCGGTAGGTTATGTATCCGGCGCTACGTTCCCTCGGGCTTTTTGGGGCGCCCCGCGGGGCACAGACCGTGTTTGGATGGGCGGCTGGGGGGATGCTGGCAGGGGCTGAAGGAAGTGAGAAAGAGAGCAAGGGAAAGGTGATGGTGATGGTCTCTTGTGCCAATACACGCTTCAGCAGAGTATCGCCTTGTTTTTGACGATACGCACTGTCGTATAAAGTTACCGGGGAAGCAAGAGTTGTATCCCATGCCTTACCGTACTACCTCATCTATCCACTGTTCGAGCACCTTTTCTTCTCTGTCTCTTTACTTGTAGGATCTCACACTCCTGTTGGTTTCATTGATATAACTTACAGTGCTTCAAGTTCAACTCAAGTTGCATCGGCTTCCCGACCTCCTAGTCCCCCGTCCTTCCGGGAGTCTGTCCGGCTGTGTCCGAATATATCCACCGATCCCACCCCCTGCCCTTGATGTATTTGTAGTCCTCACGGGATGGCTATCTCAAGAACCAAACTGAGTACTACAATAAGTTGCTGACCAGCCAGTCAGCCACAATGCGTCGTACACTAGGTGGACAATTGGTGATATGTGCTCGAGGAGCTCGCCGGCGTGGATATTAATTGTGCTCTTGCGTTGGGCCGTCGAAATTGGAAGTTGGCGTCCTGTGGATACGGTATTACTAGCAGCAGGTGCCCACCAAAACCCTGCATACAAGCATAATCAAATACAAGATTTCCCTTTATTTCCCTCTGTCTTGTCCACGGTTCTTCACTAGAGCAGTGGGAACCGCGTATTCTTCGGGTTTCGTTGAGAAAAGGGGTATATTTTTTCTTATCCCCTTTTTCCCTCTCTTGCATTTTGTCAATCGGTAGTTCACCCCACTGGTGCTGTTGTAATGCAGATGCGGCGGGTATTGATGCATCTGCCTTGTTTCGGATCATATATTTCCCGGCCAGGCCATGATGGGCCAGTAGTTGGGAAAGAAATGTGCTGGAGCCCAGAAAGGACCTTGCGCGATAGATAATGGCTATTTCTTCAACAATGTGTGATAGGATCTCTTTGATAAATATTTCAACAATTATCCACCCAATTCGGTGTTAGGTAATGTCTCATGTACCTGAAGAGAACGTATGTGCAAGATACCATATTGTGCGGCGATGAGATATATTAGGAACTCCTGTCCTCACTGTAAACGCAACTATCCCAAAGCCTACCAGAAGCGGATTCAAGAGTGAATTCGAAACAACCGCCTGCATATAGTCTGATATCCTACCCACATATAATTTTATCCCTACATCCGGTTGCAACATCACTCTGTGAATCCCTAGCCGAGCAAATAAAGCTCCAGTTGGGTAGTATAGACCGTTGGGCAAAAGTGTGTAAAGGGCATGCTGAAATCCTTGTACAGTGCCCGACGGATAAAATCTGAGGCACCCGTACAAGTTATCCTGAAGAAAAGCTGTTTTCTGGAAGTTCCAGGTGCGTAAAAAATGGGGGGGAGGGATGGAAACGCGCTAAGATCCCTAGTAGATAAATATCTGAACTGGCACAAGTTGCATGATGTATTTTGCGCATCCTTGCTACCACCGCCTCAATCATATACGCTCACTCGGTGGACCTAGCCTATGCTCATAGAGACGAGCCTGGCCTGACCATTTGTTGATGCAGCTTTGAGTGGCACACGTAAACTGTGCTGACGCTTTGCTTGCAGTGTATCATACAGTTGTATGATAAGAGTTCTACGAGACGCCGTGATTTTTAGGGTAGTGACAAGGGAGGAAGCTCAGGGGTTTGTTACAACCTTATGGTGCGTGCCACGGGGGGGTGAAGTTTGTGACCAGGGCAATGTCGCAGTACATCGCAGTGGCTCAACGTGTGCTTTTAGGCCCATCCGAATGTATCAGCTTCACGGACAAGGCCTCAGCATCTATTGTGCCTGTCGGGTTTTGTGTTCCCATCTATCCAGGGAGCTTGGGTTTGGGGGTTTTCATATAAGGCTGTGTATAACGTGGTAGATATTGAGCGCGATGTAACTGTAACAGCCGTCTGCAGAAGTCAGGAGGTAAAGAATGTCGGTGAGTATCCGTTTAAAGGGGTTGGCAATGGGGCAGAAACTTACTACAATTTGATATCGCTGGTAGTGAAGGGTTATTTGTGAATATATTGATCCCTGATAGGGTTGTGGGATTTAAAACTATTGAGGGGAAAAAAGACGGTGATGGATTAGAAAAATATTTCCTATAGCTTCAATATTACGATGGCTTGGTTAAAAGAGATAGAGAGTGAGATGAATTTGTATTATATACAATGAAAATAAATAAATAAATAATACCTTTCTCAACCGAGAAAAAAGAGACAAACCCAAGGCCAAAGTAACCAGTCTCCCCTTATACATGTGCTGAAGCGGGTGATCTCCCGCCCTTGAGTGTTCACTCTAGAACAACAATCTCCCCCCTTTCCCTGATCAACCTTCCAAATAATCCCCCCTCAATATTGGCATACATTCCAACCCACCACATGACCTCCCTATCAAACTTCCTAACCATATCTCCCTTCACATCCAGATGAATCATAACCTCAACAGCACTCTTTACAAGTCCATTCTGTCTCAAGAACACACCACCTACTTCTCCCAGACCCTTCAGGATCATCAAACATACTTCAAATCCGGTAGATCTTGCTTTGAAGGGGGTATGTTTCGTCGTCTTTGTCTTGATCTCGTTAAGAAACCCCCACAGGTGATCCTCAATGCCTCTAACGACGACCGGCCTCGCGGGATCAGGGACATTATCGACGGTATGCACAATATGCAGGACTTGATTTTTGAAGTTTGTAAAGTCGAGGGCATGCACGCGGGGCGTTGCTTCCGCACGAAGGGCAGCTAGAACGGATGGGCTTGTGATTGCTAATGTGCGGAGGAAAGTGTGAATATTTGTGTGCGGGAGGAGGTCGTCAACTTCTGCTTCAATGTTTGGGTATGGTGGGGTTTGCTGGATTGGGTTCAATGGAGCAGCGGGGACAAAGGCGGGGTACTGGGCCGCTAGAATTGGTACTCGGGCCGGAGCTCTCGTCGAGGGTCCTGGAGCTGCGGGAGCAGGTGCAGCAGGCACACGCGCGGGCACAGGTGTGGGTACAGACGTAGCTTTTTTCGGCACCTTGTTACTACTGCTTCCAAACCTCCTCTCCAGCACTGACCTCGCCCTCGAAATTAGGGGCATATCCCACTCCTCATACACAGCATCACTGACCCCTCGCCCGTCGAGAAGCTCGTCGACCACATTGTAGATATGTTTACATATATTCCCATTCCCGCAGTCCGGGCACGAGCAATCTGGGACGTCATGTGTGCTGAGGTACACCGTGTACCTAGCGCCGGTCGATCCACGCACCTCGCAGCTGATTTCTGGAGCTGCAGGGGAGATGGTGTAGCTTTGAATTTTGATGCCCTGGGTCAGAGCTCGCTCGTAGCGAATATCGTCGGTTACGGCATCCCAGTTACGTGTTTTAAATGGGTATCTCTGCATGGCTGGACTGTATGCTCGTTGGTGGGGTTGGAGATGTAGCGCGTGGAGGTCTCTTTCCCCGCAAGAACAGATGAACGCGAGAGAGGCCGAGGAGTGTGCTAGCCTGTTACTTCCTCTCCCTAATGTTGGTGTCGATGGATTCCAGCGGGCTGTGTAGACTAGGGATTATACGTCCGTGCTCACGATGAGCTCTGAGTTATGGGTATTGTAGCTTTTGCAGGGGTCAAAAAGACAATTGGGGATACATGAATTAAACAAATATCAATTAGAGTAAACTGGGAAACTGTGAGTAGGGCGAGCACCCTCTCTTCAAGAATATGCGGTTGACCAATCCTCATCGCCACCGCCATGGTCATCTACCGGTAGTCTTTTGGTTAAAGTTGAAATTCTCCCAATCATCCCACTTGGTCCGTGCATCACGACGTCACAAGAGGCTCACAAATATTTAGCTCAGCAACTCACCTCCAATGAAAACATCAGGCCCTCCAAAGACAAACATAATCCAACACCACAACAATAACCACTGCTCTCTATACCCTTTAAAATGTTCTCCCGAGCATTGACAAGAACCCTCCGGCCCTCTCCACAACCACAGTGCCTTTTCCGATGGCCTTCGCTGCCACGACAGCCCCTCCAATCCCTCCGCCATCGGCAGTCGCTGCCACCACCACCGACACAAATCCGCCTCAAATCCTCCACCTCCTCCTCTGGCGGTCCCAAAAAAGGTGTCCTCTCAAACATCTCGAACCGAAACCGCCTAATGGCCTTTCTTGCAGTCCTCTTGTCCTCCCCCCTCCAGATTCCCTCCCACCCAGTGACTGACAGCAAACAGCTCAGCAACAGGCGTAACCCTCGGCCTCTGGGGTTACAGCACCTACCTCACCTACCTCGCCAATACGACACACGCCTACCCAGAACCGGTCGCCAAAGAGCTGCGGAAAGCCCTGTACTACTCGCTACCTACCTCCTCCTCTCCGCGCGACGCAGTGAGGCACTTCCGCCTAGCGCTGGAGCAGTGTCGGGACCTGGGCATGGACCCGCTCAGTGACGAGGTCACAGGGATAAAAATCGAGTTGGCGGGGGTGCTCTTACGCCAAGGGATCATCGAGAAGGGCATTGAAGTACTTGAGGGCGTTCTGGACGAGGTTGTTGCTGCGGCAGAGGCGGAGAAGGTGGATGAAGGGGTTAGAAGGAAGTTGTTGAAGAAGGGTGTGGAGATTGCGGCGAGGGTCGGGGGGGTGTACGTTGGTAAGGGGCGGTATGCTGAAGCGGAGGAGGCGCTTGGGTGGGCTGTAGAGACAGCGGTGAGGGAGGCTAGAAAGTTCCCTCCTCCTCCTCCTCCTCCTCCCCAGGAGGGCGGTGGTGGGGAAAGACTTCCGATTGAAAAATCCCCCAGACAAGAACTCCACCAAGACTGGCTATCAAACTTGGAAATGTCCTCCCTGCTAGAAACCCTCGCAAGCGTCTACGAATCCACAAACCGCTTCTTCCTGGCAACACCCCTCTACCTACACGCATTAGAATACATGCCGCCAAACAACTGCCACTCCGTAGTCCTAAGTTCCTCCCTCACATTCCCCCTCCCCTCATCCAGCGCTAACGTCTTCCAGTGAACAACCTCTCCGCAACCCTCTCCCAACAACCCATCACCCCCACGCTGCCGCTCTCCCGCGAACAGCTAGTAACAGACTCGGCCACGCCGTGGGCGCAGAAGGCACTGAAGTTGGCGAACTCCATAAAGCCACCGGATAGGACTGAAGAGTGTGATTTGGGATGCGCGGTTGCGATGCATAATCTTGCGGAGTTTGCGGAGATGTTGGGTGACAGGGAGTTGGCTAGGCAGCGATACTTGGAGGCGAGGTCATTGGCTAGGGAAATGGGGGTCGAGGAGGGGGTTATGAAGGCGGAGGAGGGGTTGAAGAGGGTTGGGGGATAAGGGGATTCGGACGATATCGTGGGTGTACATATAGTGGAGCGAGGGGTAGAGATGGCGATTAGGTCGGGTTGGCTTGAATTATTTACGGCACCTGAGGATATGTACGGTATTTGTGTAGCTGATGTGATAGATGGGCATAACTTTGTATGAGAAAAAATTATTCAACACTTGGGGACGACAAAAAATGAAGAAAAAAAAAGAGGAGGTGAATGAGCAAAGGACACGGCATGAAAGTGCGGTACGGTGGTAGAGACAAGTCGATTGCTTCAGAAAATCCGTGACCCGGCTACAAGCAGGAGGGGAAGAGAGGAAGGACCACAGCCAACAGGAACACCGGCGCAAAAGTTCCGACCCAGGAAATGAGAGGAGTGTGAGATGGAGAGAGGAGGGGTAATTTGGGGATACTGTGGTATGGAACAGATCGTATCGAATTAACCAAGGAAGATCTAGTCACTCGTTAGCTCGCTGGCTATGTGGTGGAGAGGATGTATGGAGAGGAGCATACCGCCAACAACACAACCGTCAGAATGATTGACAGAATCAGTAGCAAACAGCAGGCCTTATTCCTCGCGCCCTTCTGATATCTCGCTGCCTGTGTCAACTCCTGATCTCTGCATGTCGTGTAAAATTAGCAACTCCTCAACGAAAAAAGAAAAAACCCTTAGACGAGAAAGTACTCACGCAGCCTTAGTACTGGTAGCCGTGTTCCCCACATAAACCTCAATATCGTCAATCATTTCACCCTGTTGACTGACCATAGTCCCCAAATCCCTGAATATCTCATTAAGTTCCGTGATCCCTTGCTCTATTCCTCGAATCTCCTCTTCCCGCTCGATGATCAAGCTCTCTTGAAACTCCACCTCGCTCTGTTCCGCCAGCGCAAATTGCTGCTGGACTAGTGGGACCTGAACTTGCTGCTGGCCTCCCGACTTGGAGGAGTATGCTAGGTCATCGGTCGGGACGCCCTCGTCATGGGTGAGATGCTGCGCTTGGCGGGCGGCAGTGACGTAGTCTCGAGTCTTCTCAGCAGACAGTCGCTGGATGGCCTGGAAATCTGCAAGTGTAGAGGACATCTCTCGCGAGAGTTTCTGCTGGACGAAACGTTGACTGGGCTATCACCACATCCAGCGCTATTAGCACTGTCGCCCCCCCCCCCTTCAAAGGATATAATATACTTACAGAAACATCCGGCCAATCCTGAACCTTCTTGACCCCCTCCCCAACACTCTTGAATCCCGCCCTCGTCTCATTAAGCAGTTTTTTGACTCTCTCCCTGAGGGCTTCGCTATCCCGCTTCGTACCCACTAGACTCAATTCTCGGTTCAAGTTTGAGATGTTACTTGTTAAAGTGAAAAGTTGTGAGGATAACTGCGTTGTTAGACGGTCGAACTCCGGGCTGTCGGAGTAGCCCGTTGCGCGGGAGGTTGTCGGTTGCGCCTCGAGGGAGGGTAGACGATCGAACGACATCGTGAATGATGATGGTGGTGGTGGTGGCGGTAGTTTGACTCCTTTGCTTCGTTTGTGTTTGTGTTTGCTATTCTTTCGGGTGATGGAACTACAGAAGCTTTGGCCACTCTAGAAGAGAAAAGGATGAGGCTGTGAGGTTTCTGTAGAATAGGTTGTTGTAGGTTTAGACTATGTTGGTCTCTTGTTTCCCTGATGCGACACCTCAAGTCATAGGTACTATCCCACGCAGCGGGCAGTGCGATGGATGATGACACAGCCTGCCGCAACAATGGGCTTGGCGATCACGTGGCCGGTTTAGTGGGGTCAGGTGGGACAGGTAAATTTACTCTTACCGGCGCCTGTTGGGACGAATGGAGCTCCGAAAGTCTATCGTAAGATTTCTCTAACTCTCCTTAGTGAAGAGTTCTCTTAGCATAATAATAATAAAGGTCATGATAATGATAAAGAGCATAAAGGTGTTTTATATTTGTTATAGTAATAAGTAGGAAAAGTACTTAGAATTCAATCTAATTTTATTTAAACTTTTTTGTCAACACTGGTATATGATGAGCTCCCGCCGGCACAGGGATACGGCTAACTGGTATACCACTAATCCTAAGCTAACTAAGTCTACGGCCCAGCACCTGCCATTCCTGAGTCATGCCTGCACAAGAACTAATTACAAGACCATCAAACATCCCAGTGCCTGCCCCAGTCCCAGTCCACAGCCCTTCTGGTAAGAAGCCAACTAGCACTAAGCATAGCCGAAGCAGAGCAAAAGACCAATCCAACCGTGTTCCTCATCCAACAAACATAAAATCACTACCACCCCGTATGAAAACCATCCCGCGAAACCTCCACTACATTAGAAAACTAATAAATATACAAACTAAACCTACAGGTGATACAATGGCAGGGAGGAGGCAACCAACATGTCCACCTCTCGCACCCGCATGCCAGGCCATTGAACCTATGAACCCACTTTGCTGGTTGCCTCTAAAGGGCGTACCAGTGAGGAGGACATGTAGCCGCTGCCTGTCTCCCAACCAAAAACAATAAACATAAAAAATACATAGAGGTAGTAACAGACCAAGAAGGTCAGTGGGGCCTATTTCCCACCCCTGGTGCCATGCCTCCTCCCACCAAACCCATTGCCAAAACTAAAGAAACTAAAGAAACTCCACAAAACCCAGCGTATAAGGCTCAAACAAGTCCAACCAGGTGGTCGCAACCCACTATCCGCACATGTGGCTGTCAGCTAGCTGGTCCGTCAGGGAGCTCTGTAGCACTCAGCAGCTTCATCCAACAGCCCAAGCTGAATTGGAAACACTTAATTAGACCTCGTTCAACCTGGCACAGGCCTTACCGGTGCTCGCAGGTGCCCCCCCCTCCCCAATCAGTCCCCCCCAAGCGCCGCATGCCAGACGCCACAGAGCCCATCAATGCCCCCAAGCCCTTCAGACAGATCAACCATCCGATAGCCACAGGACAGCCATACCCAGTCCCCTCAGGCAGCCACTGGTCTTGGCCACACTAACTGAGTCTCATCCTCCAGCACCTTGCAGCTGAGGGGGACCCACCAGTCACAGTTGGGAGCCACAAAGTAGGCAGTACCAACACCCAAAGGCACCGGTACTAGCCACAGCATCCAGCCCAGTCGAACTGAAGTCTAACAAAGCCAGGAAAGAGTAGGCAGAGCCAGCCAAAGCCAGCCCCACAGGTCCAGTACCAGGCAAAGACTGAAAGATGGGCAAGAGGCACCCCCAACTGACGCGACAAGAAGGGGGAGGGTGAGTGAACAGAAGCAGACAAATAGATGGTAGGCCCTACTTGCAATGGGTGAAGCCGCTAATCACAATTCACAACATAACCACCCAAACACACAGACTACGTGAATATCTGGCAGCCAATCGTCCCACACCATCCCAGGCAGCAATGAAAACCACACTAGGGGGTAAGAATTTTCAGGGTCAAAGCCATCCCCACTGAAGCAGGGAGGAGACACCTAACTGAACCACTGTAAATGCTGCAAGGACAAAAGCTCCAAGAGAACGGTGATAAACAACATTGTAAGATTCTGACCGTAGAAATAAAAATGTAACGGAGAGGGGCTGGGCGGGCACTGCCCTGCCACCTGAGGAATGATGCAGCCGGTACAATGAGTTGAACTTGGGAAGGTCATCAGACTAACCCAAAGGCGTTTTGTATTGCGAGAACTAAGGACTCCGGTAAAACTCAACAAGCCTGAACTGGCCCAAAGAACGACACAGGTGATCATCTTAAACACAATGTTCTATTTCCCCCAATTGAATGCGAAACCTGCGAGTAGGTTATAGACAGGAAGCTGAAGACATTTTACTGAAAGGGGCTGGTAAGTGACCGTGATGAAGTGCTCGAAGTGACAGTATCTTAAGAAACCAGCAGGCAATGAAACGAGAAGGAAATAAGTAATCCACCACGTAATGCCAACAGACCTCAACACCAAGAACCCCAGGAACTACTGAGCGAACTCAGATATCTCCCCTAGAATCCAACGCATCAAGGCCCATCATGGGTGCGAGAGAAATGCTCAGGGTGAAGAGACGGCAAGGACGAGGAAAAGTACTTAGAATTTAATCTAATTTTATTTATACTAGTACCACCAACACTGGCATACGACTAGTCTCCCCCACACCTCATAAAAACAAACTATCTAAAAGACACTACCGCGGACCCACTCTGCCCTGCAACCACTCCTCCCAGATATAAATCCAAAAATCACTACCTATGTAGGCTTACAGGCGCTTGCAGCAGCTAGTGCCACCCCGGATTAATGTGCCTTCCCACTCCACTACCCAGCCACCCTCTCATACCCTCACCCCTATCCGCCTCCAATACAATCTGTCCTATATACTCAACAAAGGAAATATACAGTCTATTCCAACATCCCTCTGTCCTCTTGTAATGCAACCCGAGATCCACATATCCCCCCGCCAATACCAACCTACAAATGGGGCAGCAAGGCTCTTTCAGCAACCCGTTCACCTTAGCCCACCTCAAGACCACTGATGTCCATGTTGCCAAGTTCAGCTCGTCCCACTGCTGATGCTGAGAACGCCAAAATCAATCGTGACATATCTGTAAACATCGGGGTCGTCTCTCAAAGTATTCTGTAAATGTGGCGTGTTTTTTAGTGGCCGCAGCGGAAATGGTAGTACCACAGCAGGGACACTTGCACCGACACTGGTCAGGTAAAAAGAACCACTTCTTTGGTAATGTTACTTCATCCGGCAAGACACAGCCACTACTATCATGTCTCTTTTCACACTGGGTGCAAGTAGTAGGATCTCTTATCGATACTGTCCTTCCATTTCTTTCCACTATCAGTGTGCCATCGAAGGGGTTACCTGCCACAAGTAATTCCCCATTCACGACTCCAATACCACAAGGGATTCCCAGGCCCAACCACCGATGATCCATCCACCAACATTTCCATCACAACACTGCCGAGTCCTTATACAAGTTTTCATCAGCAGGCCAGCCTCTAGTATAGTGGGGGCACTTAGTCCAGTGGCATCTGTCTTCCTTCCCTTCACAGCTATCATAGTCGACCATGCCCATCCCACTATGGATCTTCATCAAAACTTACAAATCCATTCGGGTGAGAGCTCGGAGGTGCTGGGGTGCTTTTGTTTTCTGGCTATAATACTCGTACCTTTCCCTAGTATGCCAGGTTCCCTATTCCTCCTTCCACAGCTCCGGAGCCAGGGCTGTATAACCAATCCCAAAGCTAACCCCTTACCAAAGTAGGGGGCATAAGGGGCGTCCAACATAGATCTTAGCCTTCAGGTCAACTATCTCATTACCCTTAAAACCCATGTGACCAGGGACCCAACTGAAACTGATGTACGAAAATGCATTTAATAAGGACACTGTCACGAACGTGGCTTAGCGAGGAAAGGGTTTTCACGTGACACATGGTTATGAGTCACAGGTATGTTATTGTTTCACGCATATGACCTATTCGGGTTATATGATTTGTTATGTGTGGGATTTGTGATGCTTTCGCACATGGCTTAAGTATGAGTCATGGGACATGCGCCTGACGAGTATGCCTTACAGGTGTGCCTTATGGGTAAGCCTTGCGCATATAATTTATGTTTCGCACATGACCTCATTATGATGTCATGGGTTTCGTGCATATGACTCAGTCAAGTCATATGACTTGTTTATTACGTTATGATTGGTTTATGAGTTTTGCACATGACCTCGCTATGAGGTCATGGGTTTTGAGCATGTGATCACTTTGGTCATATGACTAGTTTGTTATGATTTAGTTTCGCACATGTGACCACTGTAGTCACATGATTAAAGGCGGGAAGAACACTATATAAGGAGGCCGATGCGGCAGAGGAAGATAGGTTCTTCACGCTTTGTTCTAAGTACTTTTCCTACTTATTACTTTAATGAATATAAAAAACCTTTACAATCTTTATCCTTATTGCAACGTTATTGTTACGCCAAAGAAGGTGCTGTACGAAGAAGAGTTAGAGAAAGCTTACGATAGGCGTTCCCGGTAGAAGACAAGGGTCTTGTACTATCGGTAACGTAGGCAGAGGCCTAGAGCTATCGTAAGATAAAGGAAGAAGAAGACAGGAAGAGAAGTATCGTTCCCCATCGCCAAGCATTAACTATCCACAGAGGGATCGTTACATTACAAAGCGTCACCTAGTGTGACGCCAAACGATACAAGACGGCATCCTTCAACCCAGACAGGGAAGGAGATATTGACATTGAGGATCAAAATCTTAATCTAGGAGGATTCAGCGATGCCCTAGATTACGTCTCAGCAGAACCCTCGAGAGCAGCAAGCCCAGTAACCCCAGAGAAAGGATCACCAGTCGATAGCTCTCCTGCTGGAACTCCACGACCCGAGAGAATATCAGGATCCGCTGTACCTGGGCCACCGGCCCCAGCCGCTCCGGCACCAGGAACCAGCATACTTGGAATGACTGAAAATCAGTTTCAGGCATTTCTTGCAGCCACGCGAAATACAGGGCAAGGAAATGTCCAACGTCCAAAAGCAAAGGAGCCCGACACATATGAAGGGGCCGAAGATAAGCTACAAATATTCTTAGCGCAATGCAAGGGATATTTTGCCGTTAAGGGATGCGGAGATCACCATGATGAAATTAAGATTCCATATGTGGAATCTCTACTCAGAGGACTCGCGGGACAATGGAT